ATCCTTTTTTCCAGTTTTCTCATTTTTAACGGGTAAACTTCGAGAATAAATTTCTCATTCACTCGTTATCTATTTTGAGCGTACCATATATCGCATTGTAGCCCTTAACAAGGACAATCCGAAACGACTTTGACCCGACCCAAATCGGAAGTGGAACCCACTCAAAAAATTGCCCCAAAATAACTATATAATACAATTTTCAACACATTTTTCCAACAAATGGAGTATAAGGTAGGATGATCATGGACATTATTCGGAAAAAATAACACGGACTGTTGTTTCTCAATTGAGCCGACCACTCTTCTACTCCGTAAAAAAAAGGAGCCGACCAGTGGCATGACGTGATCATTGTATTCTTAAATACTCCATAGTTGGTTAGTACTGTTGTACTATGGACTACACTTTAGACTTTAGAGTACGGAAAAAAAAAGCTAACACACTATTTTTTTTAGACTTTAGAGTACAGAGTTATTAATTGAACTACCAAACTTTATAACTCTCGCACTATCTAGTACTGCCTCCGTCCACTATGTTTGGGACAATTCGGTTTACAATGTTTGAGTGACGATAAAGCAAACAGATTCATGTTCGTACTCAAATTATTTTTAGGGAAAAAAAATTACATATTCAAAAATTACATTAAAAACTTTACAAAGTCGCAAAAACCAGAATCAAATTTGATAAAAAATTGATATATAAAGTAGGAGATTAAGAGTGTTTTGTGTTGATCAAGTGAATAGTATAACTATTTACTACCTCCGTCCTTTGTACTACCTCCGTCCCAGAGACAAGTTCCCACTTTCTTTTTTTGGCTGTCCCAACAAAAAGTTCCCATTTTTATAAATGGAAAGTTATCCTACATCAAAACAGTGCCAAACAGTGCAAAACAGAGCCAAACAGTGTCGAAACAGTGTCAAAACAGTGTCAAACAGTAAAATTTACCCCTCAGTAACTTTATTTCCTTAATATGTGTGAAAGTCAACCCGGGAACTTCTCCCTGGGACGGAGGGAGTACTAGTTTGACTTCACATATATTAAGGAAATGAATTTGACTTTACATCGTAGCGACACTGTTTGACACTGTAGCGACATTGTTTGACATTGTTTGATAAAGATTTATTTGTTGAATAAGGAAAGAAAAAAGTAGGACCAACATTTTGAGACATCCATTTCGGGAAAGTAGGACAAACATTTAGGGACGGAGGGAGTATATCTTAATTTCAACTTTTCGATGTATTAAAAAATAGTGGGCCCAAAATAGCCCCTACCTCTGGGTGGCCTAAAAAATTACAGTACTACGTAGTACTCTCTCTTCTCTCATGAAATTTGATCAAATTTGTGGAGTAGTGTTTATTACTCTATATAGATGTGACCAATTTTTAAGGGGTGGAGCTAATATGTGTTGGCAAAGTCAATCGGGATGAAAGTAATACGTAGTATGTCGGTTGTAGCTTTTCATCTTTCTTTTCGCCTGAACTGTCTATTGAGGCCCATATGTGTGTTCTTTTGGCTGGTATCCAACTTTTCTGCCTCTCCTGGCTGAATGTGGCTTAAAACCTTAGCACCCTTAAGTACCACTAACCCCAAAAAAAATAAAGAGCCTCATATGATATGTAATCATATGTCTAAAGGTGGTAACATCATTGTCAATCATTTTTGAGTGGAGACCCCATTAAAAAAAATTGAGTGGTTACAGTGATGTCAACTTAACTCATACTCGCTCATCAGTCAACTTTTTCACCAAACACGCAATTTTTGCTTTCGCGCGCTGAATTGTGTAATAAGCAGAAAAAGCAAGATTAAAGTTACTTTTCTGACTATATTGATTGAAGTTACCGTAGATGACTATTTTAGTTATTTTTACTTTAACTTTTTCTTTATTTTATTTATATAATACGGAGTATATTTTTAAAATAATTTCTTCTTAAATCAGCAGAATCAGCCAATGCAGCCACTTCAGCCAGAACTTTATAAATTTAAGTAGAATCGGCCGATTTTCGTCCTATCAAACGGGCTCTAGGAATGGTTTCAACTCTCAAGGCCTCTCCATGAGTTTTTTATTAATATAAAAAAAATGGTTTCTTGTTTTAATATGATGTTGGCAACATATGAATATAGAGACTTCTATCCAAAAACTAGAACCCTTGTCATCAAAAGATTTCTCAAAGGAGGGCCGAAGATCACATTGGAACTAAAGAGGCAATAGATCTCCTGTGATTATTAATTTATTGTTGTAATATTGTATATTTGCAACTTATTCTGGAACCAATTTTATGTTTTGTTTGTCTTTGTCCTTTAGTGATTCGGACAATGGACAATGCATCACTCATTTAGACTCTATCTTTGAACAGCACATGGACAATGCATACCCAGGATCCAATATTCTGGTGGTGACTCTCACAAATGAAGAATCAAAACGCGTGGAAGCCCAAACTGATGGAGAAACTTTGAAGGAAGCAATGGATGTACTGAGGAACATGTTTGGGGAACACATTCCTACTGCAATCGACATAGTCGTCCCACGTTGGTGGAATAACAGGTTCCAGCGTGGCAGCTACAGTAATTACCCCATCTACGGCAATCACCAACTTGTACACAATTTGAAGGTACTTAGTTCATGATTAGGAGCTACATCGCTATATTATCGTGGTTGTCGTCATCCTCATTGTTTTAATTAATCCCAAAAGCAATTATCAAAAAAGGTGTTATTGTTCTCCAGGCACCTGTTGGAAGAGTGTTTTTCACAGGAGAGCACACCAATGAAAAATTTAATGGATATGTCCATGGAGGTTATTTTTCAGGTTAGTTTGTTGAAGAATTTCACGCACCGGTAAAATATGAACTATCAAACTATTATGTTAGATATGAGTTATTCTTATTGATTGACCATGGAACCCCAGCCTTGATATTAGAATCAAATTCAATTGTGGTTTGATTGTATAAAAAACATGATTAAGGGTAGCTCATTACGAGAATTGGTAATACATTTATATACCATATTTGTGTAGTTCGATTTGGATCGAGATGCGTGTTGGAGTACTTCGCACACAAATAAAATAGGAACTCATAAAGTATACCAATGCTAATCATATTGACCTGTTTATGATGAAATCCAATATTAAAACAGTTTTATCCGATATCATTTCAAGTTTTATACTTGAAATGCTTTGACACACACACACACACATACTGATATACTCAATGAATGATAGCTTTAATTTGTTGGTGATTGAGCAGGTATAGACACTTGCAAAGCTCTTCTTGAAGAGATGAGAAAGGAAGAGGGAAAAGGGGGAGAGTCACAAAACTTATTATTACTTGACCCTTTGGTTGCATTAACGGTGACAGAAGCAAATGATGTTTCGGGTCTCCACAAGTGTGATATCCCCAGGCGGGAGCTATTCCTTGGTTCCACCAAACATGCACTTCCAGAGGCCATCTTATGACTAAGAAAGGATGACCCAACTTTAGTTGATACTCCTCTAATTAGTTTCTCATTCATGAGAGATCTGAGCGGGACATCGCCACATCGGTGAACAATGAATGGCAGGCCAGGCTACACCAAGTGTGAATATTACAAGAGGAACATTCATAAAACACATTCAGTTCTTTGGGTAACAACACCTGCAATGTACGTTGTGTGTCGCGTAAGAATGCTTCCATGCCATGCTTTTGTTCTTCTGAGGAGCCCAATCATTCACCAATGAAATATCTGTAATTGATGAATATTTTTACTTTTTGTCACAGTTGTTTATTTCTCTTTTTTAATTCCATACTTTCCCCAACTGAAAATTCTAACTGCTATATCTTTTCTTTCAAATAATGAATTACAAAGACAATGTATGTAGTTATGTACTACTATTGTGAATTACTGTGAGATCTAATCTGGGTATGTAGTTATGCATTCAAGTGCATGTGAATTATTCATCATCTTTGTAATAATGGCAACACAATTGGAAGAATTTGATTGTGCATTTCATTTATCGGGCGATATTTGATTTTGCGACCTATTATCAAAATTATTAATGTGTGTAGCTCATTTCAGTATAAAATTATTTAACTTTGCAACTTATTTTTTCTTAATTTTTAGGCTGATGGACCGCATACCTTAATAATATTGAAATGTGATAAATATAGAATGCAGTCAAGTTCCCCCAACACAAAATGTCGATGCATGGCCTCCACTACCCGTACTCGCACTGCTTACATTAATTTGGTCACTTGGATAGTGTTCACATACACTGATACAAGTCGAATTGTTCACCACTTCACCTTATTTTTATTTTTTACTCACTTACTCTTGTTATTGTCATATCATGTTATATTACATGAATTTAAATCAGCTAAAAGAGTATACACACATATCAAATCAAATTAAAAAGGTTCACATCTTAACAGAAATAGTTCATATTATTAAAAACATTTGATATTTAAAAAAAAATGTTTGTATCACTTCAAAACATTCAAATCAAAGCAAAAGTATTTAGATTAAATTATAAACTTGTACTAAATTTATTGTCTTTACCAAAATTATTATCATCATCGTCAGTCATTTTGTGAACACTGTTTTATAATTAGAGTTATAATTGCCCCATTTTTACATAACCTATAGCCAATACAATATGCCGCTTGTCATTGTTTTTTATTGTAATATTGTTACGTAGTACTAGTATTATTTTGTGAACATTCAGTTTTTATTACTGTGAGCTAGTAAACATTGTTTTTTGCTTTATATTAGTAAGGTATAATTCTTATGAATAATCCCCTTTTTGGGGTTCTATAATAATAAGAATCCATACTTGAAATACTGTAAAAAATAATCTCAACTCATTATGATGTCCCCAAAAATAGATCAAATGTAACTTCCGTTTGCTATTCGCCCAGACCTTCCGTTTGTCCATTAACTTTCATTTAGTTCATTAAATAATCTTGTCTCCTTATCTAATAATCTAAATACTATCGTAATTTTTACTCTCAAATTTATATACGTAGTATATAATGCACTTCACAAAAATGCACTTCAATTATTTTCTTGTGCATATGGATCTGTATGAGTAGTATTTTTCCACAGATCCTTAAGGTGACTTACCAAATGAGATTTTAAAAATATACCCTAGTTCTTAACACCATTTGTAGCCCCTGAACTCAGTGCAAGTCATGACTTTGAAGAAAACTAAGTCCCTTTGCTACCAAGCCCTTTTAACTTAATTAATAGTCTCGTTCTTCCAAAACCAATACACATTTCCAAGGGTTGCTCAATCAATCAAACAAAAGGAGAATTAAGCTAAATGGTCAAAATTGTGAATTGCTAAGGAATGCGACCATACATCTGCTACTCTGGAATAACTTGTCAACTCTTCGCCAAACGCTCGACTGGATTTCTAGAAGTTTCTGCGCCTTTTCCCTCAACTGCGGCTTGCAACGTATTACTTCACCATGGATCTGGCAATTAAATATTTTGTAAAAAGTTATGACCTGGTATTTATTTATTCCCATTAATAAAGGTTCATAAAATGGTACAAGTATCACTATAGGTGTACGATGATGTTTGGATCTTGGAAAACATCATAGAAAGGGAGGGGGGAAGCCAAGGAAAGTTCAGTTCTTAAGTTTGATTCTTACCTTGTAAAATGCAAAGGAAAAATGAAATATGATTACTAATTTCTTAACTTATAGATTTCTTAGTCCTTATACTAGTATAATAGAAATAAATAAAAGAATGTGAGCAAGTATCAAATGTTCTTCCAAATTTCATCAAAACTTTTCTCCCCAATTATTTCCTTGGCATTTTCGAAGTTCCAAACAGTTCATACCTCATTAATTGTTTTGCTGGTTATTTGTTTCTTTTTGAGACTACAAAGGTTTTAGAATTTTATTTCTATGATAAAGATAGATACCCTGAGCATGTTGAAGAAATATGTACCTTTAAAAACAATCTAATAAGAGCCTGTATGAACTCAAAGTTGCTCATGCATGAAATCTCATGTATAAAATAGTCCAGCAGCAATTCAATGAAGTACAATTCCTGTCTTTCCATCACAACATCTTCCTCGTCGTCAATAAGTTGAAGCACTCGCATTTCCATATCCAGCATTGAAGGAGACAAACTTTTAATATAATTAGTGAATGCTGAAACTGCAACAAGAATCAAGTATACATATAAATAAACAAAATTATAATTCACCTATCATTTTTGGAAAAGTAATATGCATTCTCAAACAATAGTCTATTGACTAAATAAATACTATGTACATACATTATGTCATTATTGATATCCATTTAGCAAATCAATAAAGTAAAAGCTAGTTAAATGACCAAGTTGTCCTCCCATTTAGCAGTTTTTATTTCACTCATTTCTTTCTTTTAAAACCTGGAAATCAATATGGATATGTTTGCCAACTTATGACAAAATTAATCATCAAATTGACCACAATTGCAGTGTAATGGAATTTGTTTTTAGAACATAGGGAGTAAACATTTAATATAACCACAAAACTTACAATTTTGACTCTCTGCGGATGACTGAAGAACATGCAAGAACTGAGAGACTGGAAGATTTGGTTGTCTGCGGACCTCCTCCTGTTCACCGTCTTGTGAAACCTTCTCCTTGGCAACTTCTTCATTAGGTTTAAATAATATTTCACCAGAGAAAGAGGGAATTGAGGGTAAGAAAAACGGAGCCTTCTCTGGTTTCTTTGGAGGCTCAATAGGTTTGTTTCGCTCCTTTATGATGTCTAAATTGATCAAACTTTGCCACTGACTCTTCGGCAATAGTGATAGTGTTACTAGATCTGGAATTTGCTGGTCAGAAGTCACAAAGTGAGAAGAATCTAGAAACTTCTCTTGAGTCTTTATTACAGTGTCTTTCCCATCATTATCTTGGCAAGCTTCTTCTACCGAGGAAATTGAGGGCATCTTAACACGCACAACTTCTTTTCCACTTCCATAAGATTCAAAACTAGAAGCTCCAGAAAACATGGCCTGATTGACCCATAGATATACACCATTTTGATCAGCATGAGTGGTGGCTAGGACATCCATGTTAGGAGATAGAGATAACGCAGTTATCGCTATATCAACTTGTATGGCATCAATCTGTTTAGCTAGGATAACATCCCAAATTCTAAGTGTCCCGTCCATGCTAGATGTCAATAGCAATTTACCGTCCTCGCTGAAGCATACATCTGTAATGCGATCCGCATGGCCCACAAATTTTCGAACCATCCTCAATGCAATAGCATCATACAAACGGATCACCATGTCATCCGCCACAGTTGCCAAAAGACCATTACATCGATGGTAAACGATCTTAATTAGAGAGCAACCTATGTCCAATCTAGACTTCAACCCCCTTCCTTTAAAGCCCCAGATTTTCACATCACCCTGATATCCCGCGCTTATCATGAGGGTATTTGTAGAATCACAAGCTATGCCGATAACCTCTCCATCATGGGCATATCCATTTCTTCCTTGTGAATTGCAGTCACTGTAACTGCCACGGCTGATTCCAGATTGAAGGTTAAACCGCTCGATCCAACCGCCCAATGTCCCTAAAACTGCAAAATTTCCACATGCACTTATTGTGCACGATTTGACCGGTGTTGGATTTGCTGGACATGGGCGAAGGATATGCTCACCAAGAACGAAATTTTGAAGCCTCCAAACATATGCTTGAGTGGTGTCCATGTGACACGTAACAACATTGCACCAATCGCGTTCCCTAATTTCAGCAACGTCAAATGCAAGAACAGGCTTTAACTTTATCTCTTCTTCCTTCAATTTGAATTTCTTTGCTCTTTTAGCCACATGTCGTTGAGAAAGCTCTCTACTCTGCTGGTCCTGAATAACAGAGAAGAGGCGGAAGGCACGATCTTGACCAGCGGATAAAATGTGTCTCCCATTGGCGTAGTACTTGATACATAAAGGGGGTGCACTGTGACCACTTCTGAATCGTAGTAAACGGGGGTCACCATCAGTTGTGTCAAAAATCCACATTTTTATTGAATTGTCAGAAGATGAGCTCATAAGCACAGGCTCATTAGCAAAGAAATGAAGTGAGACTACAGTTGAATCGTGGGCCTCTCTAATGACAGACTGCAACCTTCTCTTCTCAAGGTTCCATATGCTGATCACACCAGATGAGCTTCCGGATGCTAAAAGGGGCTGCCCATCAGTACTAAAAGATAATGCAGTAACAGAACCCCGGGAAGAATGGGTAAATGTAACTATTTCTTCATCATAACGAAGGTTATGAATATGAATTTTCCCATCGGCACATCCTACAGCAACAACATCTAGTGCTGGAGATGAAATACAGCAATTTATAGAAGATCCCCACCTACTGAACTCGTACAGCTTTTTATTTGTGCTAATGTTCCAAAGTTGAAGAGTTCCTTCTTGAGTTCCAACAATGACCTATTTTAATATTGAATGTTACTCAACCCGAAGGACAGAATGACAATGAAAGGGAAATGTGGTATTTGCACCCCATGTTTACCACAATATTTGACTATCCACATCAGGTGCTATTTTCTTTGCATTTGTACCCATGTAGGGCGCAACTAAAAATAGTTTGGGTAAACATGCGCTGGAAATTTGCCATTGTTAAACTTTGCAGTTTGCAACCCATTTCTTAATTTAATATTGGACTCTGTGCCCCACTTTGGATGCTCTAGGATTTAAAGTCAGAGATTAAAAAATGGAATACAAAGTCATGTATTGTGGTAAACAAGGAGCACAAATACCAAATTTCCCATAACAGAATATGTTATTAGATAATTAGATGTACTGCATCCCAATATTAAAAGCATACAACTAACTGTGTGTCAGAGTGTATGTAACAGAAACAATACCTTGTTTAAATAAGTATCTGGATGCATTATGCAGCTAGGCGTAATTTTGCCTTCTAGCAATAAATGTCCAGCTGGAGCAAGGTTCTCATTTATTCCCTTAAAGTTCCATGTCAAGATGTTGCCTTCAACATCGACACTTAAGATGTGGTCGCCAAAAAGCAGCAAATGGTTAACCTTGGCACTATGCCTGCTCCAAGTAGCCACCTGTACATCAAATGCTAGTTTCATTTTCACTTAAATCATATGGAGTATCTAAGAACCATCAAGCAACAGTCAACAGGGTGTGGTTTTCCCTCTTGAATCACGATTCGAAGAAATATTCTAGAATATAGATAATGTAGAGGAGCAAAGTAGAGAGAATCGAGGTTGTCACGGCGGTAAGGAGAGGAGTGGCGCCTGCCAACTGCCATATTTTGGCAACTAGGCGACGTCGTGACAACCTTGGAGAGAATACACAAAGCCTACAATCCAAGTATAAGGTCATTGCATTTGAAATTTCAGGCAAAACAAAAAAAAATCTTAGGCCCAAACCTGATGAGCACGTTTGACCACTGCAATATCATTTCCATAGGCAGCGAATGTGTAGTCTCGGTAGGAAGCAAGAGCTCGTATCTTCTTTGGTAGTTGGGGGCCTTCATGAAGAATTGGAACCAAAAGCATTTAGAAATAATGAAATGGCAACACTTGGCAATCAAATTTTAACCACCCAGAAACTAAAATCACTCATTTGTGAGCCTGTTCGCTTTTTTCAGTTTTTAAATCAATGAAATAGAAACACAGAACGTTATTACTCTCCAGTCCATGATAAAGAAAAAACTAATAAAAATGGCCGGTATCATATAAGCAGTTTGAGAACTGACAATAAAAACAATCCATGTTGGAACAACTTATATGTTAAGGATAAAAGGTTGAAAGAATAGGAGGTTAAAAGAAGATGAGCAGCAAAGCTTACTGCGAGTCAAATTTAATGATTATTTAATAGAGAACTTGGTGATTACAGTTATGCTCTGTTTTTTAATACAAAGCATGACATATCTAGGTCAATCCTGGAGCACAGGACTTGTTTCTAAACACTAACCTGCATCTTTTATAAATGACGGGATGAGTTAAAGCACTATCAGACTTCATACCTTTTATTAGGAGTCTTCCATGAACTTTCACACAACATCACTCTGTGTGACACTCCAGAAAGTCTCCTTAAATGTCCTAAAACATTGATGGTTATATTTACTAGACTTGTTGAGTTTTCATAGATTTATGTCAATTAAGATCAATCTGATTTCTATCCCTTTAGATTACTACATACATCACACTTGCAAAAACAAATGATTATACAATGTATTTTATATTCTCCTCACCTAGAAACACAATCAGCTTGTCAAAGATTAAAACTTTCGAAAAATGATTGAATGAAAAAATAAATATAAACAAATGCAATGAAGAGCATACCAACTAGAACCAAACTGAGCTTAGCGCACTGCAAACAAATTTAAGGGAAAAAAAAACAATTGTTAGGTTTTCGCATTATGAGAACTCAGTCAAAGTTATAAATCTAGACAAAATCGTACATTGTAAATCTGGAAAGCTTTGCCGATGCTAACGGTGACGAAGGTCTCAGTTCCTAGTCTTTGAACGGAGAAGGGAACGTTGTTCGTGATATATCCAATGGCTCTAAATGGTTCAAAAATCCCCATTCCGGATGACCTCCGTTCTGCTAGCCTAAACAGAGAGGGATCAGAGGCGGAGGGGGGCAAGATTTTGTATGTATATACATATATGTGTGTGTGTGTGTGTGTGTGTGTGTGTATAGATGAGTATGTGTCTGTATATACACACACTAACTTCAATAGCAACATAAAAGTATTGTACAAAAATACATGTCACTAATGTTTTACATTAATAAGAGTTTTCATCAAAATCAAATGCCAAAAGAAATCACACATTACAATTGTTCGTTATGGGTTTTTAGATATTATATCGCTTGTTAATGACATCATTGTCGATTTTCAAGAGGATATATTTTTCTACATAAACAAAAAATAATACTATGTATAATGAAATTAATACTAACAAAAGACAATGGAATTAATTGATTAATATAAAATAATGGGATTAATAATCACAAATCACATTAATACTAATGCAATTCACATTCACAAATAACATCAATATTAGTAGATTAATAATTTAATACTATGTATTAAACAATGAAATTATAATGTAAAAAAAAAAACAATGCCTAAAATAATACTAAATCTGAAACTGAAAGTATAAATGAAGGTGCACTGAGCACAAAAAACTACAGGAATCAAATTCAACAGCTAAACACCATTACTAAATCACTGTCAAAGCACAAAAAGGAAAAAAAAAAGGTGAAAGTGTAAAATTAAAAAACAAAGCATTCAAAACTTACAGCGTATGTAGGTAATGTAGCAGACAGGGGAGCCGAATTGAAGTCTGAGACTTACAAAGTTAAAATATGAGAACTGTTCTTTGATGGAAGTCAAAAAATAACAAAGCTAATGTTTTGAGGACATACCAATTGTATAATAGTCGGGAGGTGAGTGCGGCGGAGGACTAAGCTGTGGGCGGCAGGAGCGGATCTAGCATTGACACCCAGAGGCCAAAATTTAATTAAATAAAGTATATTGCAACAAAAAATAGTCAAAATGTAATAAACAAATGTCTATTTACAACACTTGTTTTAAGGTACAAAATAACATCTATGGCAACAAAATGTCAAAGACAAATACAAAAAAACACCACAAATAACAAGAAGATTTCTATTACAACTGTTCTCTACGGGTTTTCAAGAAGATGTCAAATACAAAAGCACCATAATTACCAAAATACTAACTATGAAAAAACTGATAAGAATATGAAATTAATACTAAATAATGAGTAATAAATTTCTGCAATAAACAAACAAATAACAACAAGGCAAGTAGTTGAAGTAGGAACCAAAGAACAAACTCATTTCACTAATTGCAATTCAAAGAATCAAAGAAATCCGAAAATCATAGTGCTTAGTTGCTTACCTGTTACTGCGGTAGCGGCCTAGCGTGGACAGTGGACTGCCGGACTGGTAGGGCGTCGTGCGGCCGTGGTCCTGCAGACTGGAGGCTGGAGGCGGGGCGTCGCTGCGTAGTGACAGGCTGGAGTTGGTCGTCGGCGCTTTCAGCTTTCTCTTCCAGTTCCCGTCTTCTGTCTGCCGCTCTCCGCAATTCAAAGCTTAGGACCTGGTTGAGCAGCAGTAATACTACTACTAAAAGTTTTCTCTTTGGGCCTTCCAAAATTTTGGGTGTCTGAGAATGGTCCGGATCCACCTACGCTGGGCCGGGCCGGCAGAATACACCAAGTTTTAAAGATGGCAATTTCCTATCGTGTCTCCCGATAACCATAAACAATAAGAAAAAGTGGCATAGATATAACCGTTGGGCTTTTCAATGACAAAAATATGACCTTATTGTCCTTTTCCTAATATGACTTAACCTACGTACAATTGTACAAAGCTCACTCACAACTCACCCGATCTCAGTTTTCGTCTCTCCCGTCCCAAGATCTTCAAACTTCCATCGATGCTCTTCACTTGTCCAAAAAGAGCTCTATAAGGTGTCAACTTTAAAGAAGAATGATAATTCGTTTTATACCAAAACTCAGCCCAATGGTTAGGTTTTCTTTCAGTAAGACACCTTAAATATGTTTCCAGACATCGGTTGACCACCTCATTCTGGCCATTAGTCTGAGGATGGTAAGTTGTGTTGTACTTAAGTTGGGTTCTTGCCATCTTGAAGAGTTCTGACCAAAAAGAGATCATGAATACACTGTTTCTATCACTTACAATAGTTTTAGAGAAACCATGTAACTTCATCAGCTCTTTTGTAAATAATTCTACTACCCACTTAGCATTATAGAGGTGGGATAGAGCCAGAAAATGAGCATGTTTAGTTAACTTGTCCACCACCACCAATATAGTATCATTCCCCTAAGATTTAGGTCGGCCCCTATGAAGTCCATACTGATGCCAATCCAGATGCTATTGGGAATGGGTAAAGGTTGTATCAATCCTACTGGTTTTAGGGCCTAATATTTGTTGGTTTGGCAAATAGTGCACCCTTCAACATACTTCTTGATGTCAGTCCTCATACCAATCCAGTAAAACAAGTTAGATATCCTCTTCATAGTCCTAAAGTACCCTGAATGTCCTCCCACGGCTGAATCATGATATTCCTTTAAAATCTTGAGTACTCTAAGTTATTCCTTTGGCAGCACTAATTTCTTCTTGTAATATAACAGCCCTTTAATTATCTGGAATTCCGGATAATTATCAGGTTGAGATATTACCTTCTAAAATAGCTCTTGTCACTTAGGATCTGATTGCAACTCATTCTCCAACCCTTCCAATTCCTTACAAGTGACAATGGAAAGTGAATGTAAGGTTGGTCTTCTTGATAAGGCGTCTGCAACTCTATTCTCCACACCAGGCTTATATTTGATGATAAAATTGTAGCCTAGCAATTTAGATGTCCATTTATGTTGTTCCTCCCCCATCAGTCTCTGCTCGGCCAAAAAAATTTAAACTTTTTGGTCAATATGGATCTCAAAAGTCCTGGCAAGTAGATATGGTCTCCATTTCTGTACAGTAAGTACAATGGCCATGAGTTCCCTTTCATATACAGACCTCCCTTGGTTCCTCTTTGATAGTTCCTTGCTCATATATGCAATGGGCTTCTCTTCTTGCATAAGAACTGCCCTCAAGCTTGTTCCCGATGCATCATTTTCCAATATAAACATTTTGTTGAAATCAGGTGCTGCCATGGTACTCTTTAGTTCTTCAAAGGCATGAGTGGCCATGGTACTCCACTGAAAACTATCTTTTTTAAGGAGCTGTGTAATTGGTAAAGCAAGTTTGCCATACCCTTTAACAAATCTCATATAGTATCCAGTCAACCCCAATAAACCTCAATTCACCATTGCTTCAATCTTAGTATGATCAAATGATACTCCATCTCCTGAAATAATTTGTCCCAAATATACTAATTGTGATTGTCCAAATAGCACTTTTAGGTTGACAATTAACTGATTCTCACTCAGAGCAGTTAGGACCTCCCTCAAATGATCCCGATATGCTTCTTTAATCTGGCTATATATAAGAATGTCATCAAAAAGATCAAAGCAAATTTTATGAGAAATGGTCTTAAGGCTTGATTCATAAGAGCTTGAAAAGTGGAAGGTACATTGGTTAGCCCAAAGGGCATGACCAAGTACTCACAATGTCCTTCATGGGTCCTGAAGGTGATCTTCTGAATATGTGTATCTTTCATCCTAATTTGATGACAGCCAGATTTAAGGTTCAACTTAGAGAATATAGTGGCCTCCTTGGCTCATCCAACAACTCTTCATTTATGGGTATGGGGAATTTATCAGGAACAGTTATCTGATTCAAAGCCCTATAGTCACCACAAATACCTCCACCCCCCATCATTCTTCTTGGCTAACAGGATGGGACTACTATAGGATAGTTGTGTTGTACTGTTGTATAATTCCAGACTGAAGCATTTCCTTGATGATCCTTTCAATCTCATTTTTCTGATACTGTGGGTATATGTAGGGCCTTATATTAGGTATCTCAACTCTTTCTTTTATTTTGATGGCATGATCACAGGTTCTAGTGTGGGGGGTAGTCCTTGTATAGGTGTGGATACCTCTGGAAATTCTCCCATTGTCTCATCCAAAACAGGGTCCCTCTGTATTTCTTCCTCCAGCTCCAATAACCTGCCTTCACATAATACAAGATACCAATCACTGGTATCTTGTATGATATATGACATGGTTTTTAGAGAGATTTCAATGGAGTTTAATTTAGGATCTCCCTGGATCACCTAATTTTACCCATGCTGATGCCATTTGATACTCTGCTTTCTGAAAATTGACTTCTACATCCCCCGAACTAGTCAACCACTCTATGCCCAAAATCAAATAAGTTCCACCCAATTCCAGAATATAAAAATTATGTTCTATAACAGTTCCCTGCATACATAGAATTAACTCTTCACATCTGTCATTATTGAATACCTTGTCTCCATTTCCGATTTGCACCTTGTATCCAGAAATGTTGTGAAAAGGTAAACCCCATTGCTCCACCAACTTTTGAGATATGAAGTTACGGGAAACCTCACTATAAATAAGAACTTCCACTTGTTTCTCCCCATTAATCCATTTCAGACATCCTTGCACCTTGAAAGCTCTCATTGATGGTATACCTTCTTTGCTCATAATTGAGAGTTGCATGGACTTAGACTCCATGTGAGCCGTCTCCTCTTCTTCTGGAATTACATTGTCTGTTACCTCCAGTTCTTCTTCACCTTCAGAGTCTTCTACCAGTATAAGTTTATAATTCTTCAACTTCCAAGTATGTTCCTTGTTCCACTTCTCACCACACTTGAAACAAAGCCATTTTTCTGCTCCTGTCTTGATATTCCTCCTGTGATAGTTGTTACAGGCACCATCTCCTTAATGGATTGGGACCCGAGTATCGATTTGTTACAGGCACCATCTCCTTGTTTCCTGAAAGCTTTCCACCAGATATCCTTCACCCACGCCTCATGGAGGCCGAACAACAACTTATGTATCAGCAACAAGAAGACACTTCCTCCCTTCACCAAGCTTTCGGGGCACAAGTGGGTGCCGGGCAGCCCGCTCCAGGAGCCGCGAATCGTGGCAGGGGTTACTGCGATAGGGGTGGCCGAGGTCGAGGATCACGTGGCAGGGGTCGGTATCAGCCCCAACCGGCGTCTAATCCACCGGCCGCTCACGGGCAGTGTTACCAGCAGGCGCCGAGACCATCAGCCGCAGGAGGTGTGTCACTGCCGAGACCTCCTAATGTACCATCTGGTAAATCTGTCTTGTCCACTTTAAATATTAATGTTACATCTACTATTAGTACTCATAATGGATATGCAGGTTTCCCATCAGCTGAGGGTATTCTTGGGTCTGTTCCTCCTCCGGTTGTGTGTCAAATTTGTTTCTCTGCAGGTCATTCCGCTCTTCAGTGTCCCTCTCGATATTCACAGCCTTCTGCACCAGCTCTTTTGGCTCCCACTGGGGAATCTAATGATGTTTTGTGGTACCATGATTCTGATGCGTCTGCTCACATGACTTCCTCGGAAGGTATTTTGTCCAATAAATCTTCTTATTCTGGCCCTTTGACTGTTAGTGTAGCGAATGGTGTTAATCTTCCCATAGCAAATATTGGAAATATTACGTTAAATACTCTCAGTCGTCCACTGTCATTAAAAGATGTTTATCATGTGCCTCAAATTAAATTTAATTTAATTTCTATTAAATAATTGTGTGCTGATAACAACTGTGTTGCTAGTTTTGATAAAAATTCTTTTTATTGTTAAGGACAAATTTTCGGGGGCGGTACTGCTTCGGGCTCATCATAATGGACATCGTTACCCTCTCAGCCTCGGCCACTCAGCACCTCTAGCATTAGCTTCTACTATTTCTCCTGGCCCTGTGTGGCATCGTAGATTAGGACATTGTGGTGAAAACATTTTGCGAATGTTGCGTACTAAAAAATTTATTTCTAGTTCTTCCAATTTTGATCATGACTGTGTTTCTTGCCGATTGGGCAAATCTCAACGATTACCTTTTTCTGATGCTAGTCATAATTCATCATCTCCTTTGCAATTAATTCATTCTGATGTATGGCAGTCTCTTGTTTTATCGAATTTAGGCTTTAAATATTATGTTTGTTTTATTGATGATTTTTCTCGCTTTACCTGGTTATATCCAATGCGTACCAAGGATGAAGTTTTTAGTCATTTTCGTGTCCTTAAGGCACTGGTCGAAAATTTGTTTAGCTCTACCATTAAGGTTTTTCAAAGTGATGGAGGGGGTGAGTTTGTTAATTTTCAAATGCAACATTTTTTTCTGAACATGGGATTTATTTTCAAAAGTCTTGTCCCTACACTCCTCAACAAAATGGAGTTGTTGAACGTAAACATCGGCATCTCCTTAAACTAACTAGGACTATGCTTATCACTGCATCTATTCCTAGTACTTTTTGGGTTGATGCCATTTTTACAGACTTCCCTCTCCTACTCTCTCTGGTCTCTCTCCATACGAAAAACTTTTTCAAAAATTACCTGACTATAATTTATTACGTGTTTTTGGGTGTGCCTGCTATCCTAATTTCTCTGCATCTTCCTCAAATAAACTTTCTCCTCGCTCTATTCAGTGTGTTTTTATAGGCTATGCATCTGGTTTTAAAGGTTATCGTTGTTTGGAGCCAAAATCTGGTAAGGTTTTCATTGGTCGGCATGTACGCTTTCATGAAAATATTTTTCCATTCACCACTCTGTCATCTTCTTCGTCTGATCTTATCCCTTCTTCGTCCACTGACTTTCCTTTTATTACCACCACCTCTACCAAAAACCCAACCCAACCTCCTTCAATGATCCTGAACCAAACTCCCACGCCTGACCAAATTTTTTCTTCCCAGGCCACTCCTCCCTGTACCCCACCATCACATACTCCTCCAGACCACACTCCACCACAACAGTCGATCCATACCTATTCTCCAGACCACACCTCGCACCAGCTCCCACCATCACCCTCGCCTCATCCATCTTCGGTTTCTCCTCTCAACCTGCACTCGCCCCAATTCCCTACCGGTCCATTGCCTCCGTCTGACCAGTCCGCTGCAGCCTCCCCCGATGACAGCCCGGTGAATTTTCCGGCCACTGCCAGTCCGTCTTCATCCCCTCCGGCAGTCACACGTAATCTTCACCCCATGCAAACCCGGGCTAAGTCAGGCATTTTTAAACCAAAACCTATTTTTAATTTACATACGTGTTGGGTTAACAGCCCAAGTCAGGGTCCGGCCCATTCACCCTTTTTACCAGATGTACGTCCAGTTAGAACACCAACCTAGCCTGGCAGGCCCATGTTCCTCCAGGACGGCCCATCTCGACGAACGTCTATGCAGGGACAAGGAGCAGGACCACGGGTCACCGGAATGACGACGAACGTCGTCAGAGCAAGCCCATAGTCACCGGAGGCAGCCCAGTCCGCATAGGCCAGGGGACGAACGACCAGTACCCCTGGGGGGCCATCTGGAGCAATCCAGCTCGCTCCCCGGGCGGACGAACGTCCCCACTAATCAGGCGGGAAACTTAGATTCTGGCGGGAAGCGCATTTAATGCTGAAGATTTGGTGGTTGGGACACCAGCGAACCACAGGCTTCCACGTCAGTGTAGCCACCTGCCCATTGGTGGGTATAAATAGAAGCATTTATTTCATTGAAAAGGGTTGGCAGCTTTCTATTCTTAGCATTCTAGCTATAGTATTCTTACTCGCAGCACTTCTACTGCCTTGTAAGACGAACGGCCGACGGAGCCTTAGCGAAAAGTATTGTATTAGGGAGTTATTAAGAGATAATAATACCTAATCACTTACTTGCTACCTTGTTGTTTCTTGATTTCATTTCACTTGTTAGTTGGGCTAGTTTACTCACACGCACTCCACTCGAAATCCTCGGGCTTACGTGTTGGACCCGAGGGTTGAAGGAATAAACCTCAACAATATGGTTGCTTTATCAGCAGATCCTACGTGTTTTTCAGAGGCAAATAAACAGCTTAAATGGCGAGAGGCGATGGCAGAAGAATTTAATGCTCTTATTTCTAATAATACTTGGGAATTAGTTCCGTTTGACAATACTAAAAATGTTGTGGGCTCTAAGTGGATTTATAAAACGAAATATAATTCTGATGGGTTCATTGAGCGCCATAAAGCTTGTTTAGTTGCTCAGGGGTTTAGTTAACAGGTTGGTGTAGATTTTTTTTGAGACCTTTAGTCCGGTTATTAAACCCACCACTGTCAGGGTTGTTGTTTCTCTAGCTATTTCTTTTGGGTGGGTTATTCGTCAACTGGATGTCAAAAATGCCTTTTTGCATGGTCATCTCACTGAGGAGGTTTATATGCGTCAGCCGCGGGGTTTTACTCATCCTTTGTTTCCTAATCATTTATGTAGACTGCGAAAAGCTCTTTACGGGCTTAAGCAGGCCCCGCGAGCATGGTTCCATCGTTTCAGTAGTTTTTTATTGTCACATCATTTTACATGTAGTAAGTCGGACAATTCTCTGTTTATCTATCGTCAGAATAATTGTGTCATTTATTTATTATTATATGTAGATGACATTATTATTACTGGCAATTCTCCTTCTCTTGTCTCCTCCCTTATACAACTTGTTGCTCAGCATTTTGCTATGAAGGATCTTGGTGATCTTCATTATTTCCTTGGAGTCCAGGCTAAACGATCTGACAAAGGTTTGTTTCTTTCTCAAAATAAATATGTGTGTGATCTTCTCTCTCGTTTCCACTTAAATACGGTTAAGCCTGTCCGTACACCTCTTGCTACTCGCACTTCTCTATCTCTCACTGATGGCAAACTTCTTGCAGACGCCACTGAGTATCGTAGTATGGTTGGTGCGTTACAATATTTAACTTTAACACGACATGATATTACCTATGTTGTACATTTAGTGTCTCAGTTTATGCATGCTCCTCATACTACTCATCTTTTTGCAGTCAAGAGAATTTTCAGGTATTTACAGGGGACCTTGGACCACGGCCTATGGTTACGTTCTACCGCACAGGCGACTTGTATCATCGCCTATTCTGATGCAGATTGGGCTAGTTGTCCAGATTCATCCCGCTCCACAACTGGTTTTGCTATCTTTTTGGGGCCAAACCTGGTCTCTTGAAAGTCCAAGAAACAACCTACGGTGTCCAAGTCTTCTACAGAGGCAGAGTACAGAGCTGTTGCTTACACAGTGCAGGATACCTTGCATATTCGATCCATTTTATTTGAGCTTGGTTTTCCTGTCAAGGCTCCTGTTCAGTTATTTTGTGACAACATCTCTGCTTCATACTTGACTGCTAATCCTGTTCAGCATGTTCATAGCAAGCATATCCAAATTGACTACCACTTTGTTAGGGAACGTGTTGCACATGGAGATTTGATCGCGAAATACATTCCTACACAGTTACAGCTGGCTGATATTTTTACTAAAAGTCTTTCTAGTCAGCAATTTCATTTTTTAAAAGACAACCTGCGCGTTGTATCTCCCGCACAGTTTGAGGGGGTGTAATAGAATCTATTTTAGGGATATTTGTATCCTAAAATATATTTAGGGATATTTGTTTCATTTTGTATCTTGAACTCTCTCATTATACATACACATGCCAGAACTCCTATTGGAGTACCTTTTCCCATTATTTCACAGACTTTACCAAGATCAAAGTAAGTGAGAAATAAGAATAGTAAAAACTGTGTGATTGAGATTTGTGCAGAGGAGAGAGAGATGTGCAGAACCACAAATTAGTTGCTTTAATAGGAAAGTGGCAAAGTTTTTTGGGACAACGAAAAAGGAAAAGTTGGCAAAGTCCAATGGGATAGAGGGAGTAATGTTTTTTTAAAATTGCTTGCAGCGCTTATTTACTTTAAAACGCCGCATATATTTTATTTTTTAATTAAATCTTCGTTATTATATTCGTGCGTGCGGCACATCTTTAAAAAGTGCCGCATATGTTTTAATATTTTAATTAGTCGATTATTTATTTATTTATTAGGGGAGCGCGGCGCATTTCACGAACAACCGCCACGTAGGTTTTTTACTTTTTTTTTATTTGAAAGCTACTCTGTATGTAACTTCGATATATGCATGATACCCGCATATATTATGTACATATTACTTGATAAAGGACGCAAGTCACGAGAATGCCTCAATAAGCACAATGAACATGTCTTTTTCATATATTAAGCCTTGCGCATCAAAAGAATAATAACGACACGTGCATGTAACAGTCGATGGTCCCAGGGACGGAACTATGCATAAGGGTGAGGGGGCCATGGCCCCTCCCAACATTTGTTTTTTCAATACTGTTGGGATATATTATCCCGGCCTATTACTGTTCAGGAGCCCAAGACATCACTCAGTACGGAACCCGAGCAGTTAGGCCCATTTCGGCCCATCCGGCCCACTTTAGCCATTTGGGCCCACTCCGGCCCATGCGGCCCATTAGGGTGGAGAGCATCCCCTTCCCCTGTTCTCTATAAATATGGGAGTTTCCCTCCATATTATGGATCCTTTCCTTCTTCTTTCTTCCTCTAGAATAGCTCAAATACTCCATTAATGGGAGCTTGTACAATGTAATGGTGAGGAGAGTCCTAATGAGAAAGAGAGGGCTTGGACATTAGCCTAAAAAGTCCCGTGGTTTTCTCCCTTTCCGGGTTTCCGCGTAAAAACTGAGTGTTCATACATATATTTACTATACCGTGTTGGATTAAACTCAACACTGGCGCCGTCTGTGGGAATCTATCCAAAAAGATTCGTGTGTTCTACCTTTCTTGAGTTTTCTACAAAAATTCATACGAAAGAAAGTGATTCAGCAAAAAAAGAAGGAAAGTCGTTTGGAAGAGTTGGTTTCCAGCAAAGAAAAAAGAAAGAGTAAAGGGTTAGTTTGGTACTCGAAGTTGCAAAAAAGGGGTCAAATAAGTCCTTATATAGAAGATTCTGTTCGGACGTGCCATTTGAGGTGGTTCCCGATAGAATTTTTTGATGAAATTTTTTGATCATCTTATTCATTAAGTCTAGTTTACTCATACCAAATTTCAGCTAACAATTCAATCGGGGAGACATTCAAATGAATTCTTGAAGATAACTGCGCTTTTAACGGCACGGTTATCTTCAAGAATTCATTTGAATGTCTTCCCGTTTGAATTTTTATTTGAAATTTGGTATGAGTAAACTAGACTTAATGAATAAGATGCTCAAAAACTTTCATAAAAAAATTCCACCGGGAGCCACCTCAAATGGCACGTCCGGACAAAATTTTCTATATAAGTACTTATTTGACCCCTTTTTTGCAACTTCGAGGACCAAACTGACCCTTATCCCAAAAAAGAAATGAAATGATTCTGAGGAAGGGAAGAAGAAGCTAGGAAGCTACGAAAATCTGGAAAGCCAAATCTGAATTTTTTCCAGATCTGTTTTTGAAGTCACCGGAGCCGCCGTAACCATCCCCGCCGCGGCGGACCTCCGGTGAAGTCAGCTGCGCCAGACGAAGCTCGCTGCAGCACCCCAGCTGTTTCAGGCGGCCACCGCCTCAGTCGCACATCACCGCTCGTCATCAGCGACATGGAGCTGACGCGACCTGAAGGAAATTCCGCCATTAATGGCGGCTTGAAGCTTAGGGAAGGTACACCTCAAAGCTCTGCCGGACCCACCTAGCCCGGCCTTGGTCGCTGCCCTTGCGCCGCGGCAACCGCCCGTACCGCCGTCGATGAGGGCTCACGCAGTTGGCCTCGAGTCGGTGGATGGATGCTTCAGCTAGCTTCCCAAAAGATACGAAGTACGGCATATGGATCAGATGCCTTGGTTCTCCAAAGGCCACGTCCACTGGAGGAATGATGGCAGACGGATAAGTTTGGAGCACCTTGACCAAGTCAAATAGCAAAGGAACCAAATTAAATTGAGGAACTCACTGGCCGAAGGTCTATACTAAAGGCTTGGAGCATTAATTTGAGAAGTTCATAGTTGGAGTACTTTTGGCCAAAGTCAAAATCGATGGAAGGGAGCGAATCTGGCTGTACGTAGCTCATCACTGGCCGAGCCTCTAACTCGAAAGCTAAGTGCCACACACTCCCTCATTTACTAGTTTTTAAAAGTATTAGAATAATGATGGTATTATGAATATCATTTTTAGTTATTATTACCATTATTTATTAGGGAATAAAATTTCCCGAAATAAAATAATGTCGAGTGATACTCTAGTGATAACTAGTTTCCCCGTCATTTAAATTTAATGACTGGTTGTTGTGAGCCCGTTGGCCCGCTCCCGATCGGCTTTAATTAGCGAACGGAGCGTATCTGAATGACTTATGGTAGGATAATACTATTATTAATACCCGTACATCACTATTATTTATTAGGGATAAAAGTGTCCCGAAATTAAATAATGCAGAGCGAAGCTCTAGTGATAATTAGTTCAGCCAACTTTTTATTAAATATTTAATTGTTGGTGGGTTCGATTAGCCCACTCTCGATCGGCTTTGATTAGCGATCTGAGCGTCTCCCGAGGGTAGTGTCCCGATGACGCGTTTTAATTTGGGGGTTACGCAATAGTCCGCACGGCACCAAGTGCTCGAGCGACGATAGTACCCTAGTACCACCTGCGCCACTAGGCGAGGTGACTGTGCCAAACGTGGCCTGTGGGGCCCGAGGGCACCAAAGCACTCAACCTCGTTTTTCCGAGGGCAGTGCGACCAACATGGGTCTGAGTTTGAAAACTCACAGACCGATGAATATCTCTATGTGACGTTCGGCGGGCTGCTAGTTGGCCCCGCCGCGAGCTACTACGTCCATTAACCCTGCACGATGAGCCGGGCCGAGGGTCACGATAACCCATAGGCCGGTAATCGTGGATGTTAGAAAGAAAGCCATGCAGATGGTTATGTGTGTATACATATTGTCGGGCCGTGCGGCCCGTCATCATGCTTATTGCGCAGCTGAAGCCACTCGACGCGTTCGAGAGAAATGATTAAAAGACGCTCGGCCCAAGTCTTGGAGACGTTCAGGGCCAGCTAAAGAGGGGACCACCACGGTTGAGAACCGTGGGACGAGCATCTCCACCCCAGAGACCGATTGCCTAGGAAGAACACCTAGAGGCCGAAGGTCTAGAGGGGACTGCCACGGCGAAGAACCGTGAGACGATCATCCATCATTCAGAGGCCGAAGGCCTAGAGGAGACCGTCACGGCCGAGGGCCAACTGACACAATCATATCACGACCGGCCTCTCGGCACGGCGTGATTATCATCTTTTAAGACCGGCCTCGTCCCCGAGCTGCGTGGAGGAGGACCGTTGCTGGATTTTAGGTCGGCCTCTCATTGCCGACATCATCATATCACGACCGGCCTCTCGGCACGGCGTGATTATCTTATTTGAAGACCGGACTCGTCCCCGCACTGCGCGAATGAGGACCGTTGCTTGGTTTTTTCAGGTCGGCCTATCAGTGCCGACACCATTATATCACGACCGGCCTCTCGGACCGGCGTGATTATCATATTCGAAGACCGGCCTCGTCCCCGCCACCTCGCGGACGAGGACCGTTGCTTGACCATATCTTGATCGGCATCTCATTGCCGACATTATCATACCACGACCGGCCCCTCGGCTCGGCATGTTCATCTTTTGAAGACCGGCCTCGTCCCCACACCTCGCGGACGAGGACCGCTGCTTGGTTCTTTCAGGTCGGCCTATCAGTGCCGACACCATTATATCACGACCGGCCTCCCGGCTCGGCGTGCTTATCATATTTGAAGACCGGCCTCACCCTGCTCCTCGCGGATGAGGGCCGTTGCTTGATTCTGTCAGGTCGGCCTCTCATTGCCGACATCATTACATCACGACCGGCCTCCCGGCTCGGCGTGTTTATCATATTTGAAGACCGGCCTCATCCCCGCTCCTCGCGGATGAGGGTCGTTGCTTGATTCTTTCAGGACCGACTGCTCAGCGGCATTATGATCATTATTTGTCGGCTCCCGATGCCGACCCTCTTGAGTTTGCGATCGGGCTCACGACTCCCCTCCAGGAGGGTGACCATCGCCTTCGCATGACGACCAGCTATTCTATCGCCTCGTCATTATATTGTTCGCTATGCCACCACCATTATGTGTGACATCCCGTGATCCCTGCGAGTTTCTTGGACGCCGAATGTCTTCTTCGATGTAGGAAGATCGGTAGGACCATGGACCAGGGACGGACAAAGAAGAGCTAGGGAATCTCGATGTAGATAAACCTGTTCCTCCTTGCGAGTTTCGCGGATACCGAACGTCTCTTCGAAGCAAGAGCGCCGGTAGGACCAAGAACCAAGGACGAACGAAGAATATAGATTGCCTCCCTCAAAAAAAAAATGGGGAGAAGAGGAGGGTAGCTCCTATGCGGAAGGGAATCTTGCCCGGGCGTGCCAGATCTTCCCCCACCGCCGAAGACGAACGCCTCTCGATGTAGAGGTTAGTAGAGACGCGGAGGGGGCTAGACGAACCAAGGGAGCCTGCCAAGATAAACCTGTTTATCCCACAAATGACCATGGATCGATGGACGTGGGATAACAAAGTCGGGAACCCGTGAGGGTAAACCTGTTCGTCCCTGCGAGTTCCTTGGGTACCGAACGTCTTCTTCGAAGCAAGAGACGCCGGTAAGACTAAAAGGACCACGGACGAACGAAAAAAGGGGGAATCTCGATGTAGATAAACCTGTTCCTCCTTGCGAGTTTCGCGGATACCGAACGTCTCTTCGAAGCAAGAGCGCCGGTAGGACCAAGAACCAAGGACGAACGAAGAATATAGATTGCCTCCCTCAAAAAAAAAAGATGGGGAGAAGAGGAGGGTAGCTCCTATGCGGAAGGGAATCTTGCCCGGGCGTGCCAGATCTTCCCCCACCGCCGAAGACGAACGCCTCTCGATGTAGAGGTTAGTAGAGACGCGGAGGGGGCTAGACGAACCAAGGGAGCCTGCCAAGATAAACCTGTTTATCCCACAAATGACCATGGATCGATGGACGTGGGATAACAAAGTCGGGAACCCGTGAGGGTAAACCTGTTCGTCCCTGCGAGATCCTTGGGTACCGAACGTCTTCTTCGAAGCAAGAGACGCCGGTAAGACTAAAAGGACCACGGACGAACGAAAAAAGGGGGAATCTCGATGTAGATAAACCTGTTCCTCCTTGCGATGTCTGCGGATACCGAACGTCTCCTCGAAGTAGGGACGCCGGTAGGACCAAGGACCAAGGACGAACGAAGACTATAGATTGCCTCCCTCAAAAAAAAAAAAAAAGATGCCAGAAGAGCACGGAGCAAAGAATGATTTTATCCCTCGGCGCTATTGGCCGGGAAGTACAAACTGAAAAACATATATAAAGAACAAATACAAAACTTAAGTACGAAGAATGAAGTGGCCGACGACGATCGGCTAACATCAGGCTTTCTTTTGCCTTGGACGACGAATACCAGCTCCCCAGATCAGACGGAGGGACATCACCCAAATTTTTTTCAGGCTCACCATTCCTTCCTGGATGGAGTCCTGGCAGACGATCGGCTTCTCACAGCCAATCAGGATAGAGACTTGACACATCACCAGCACGGCCGAGGGCCGCGAGACGATTACCACTCACGATTATCACTATTTTTATGCAGTACGATCGGCCCCTCAGCGCCATCGTACCCAGCTCACGTTCAGCTCGCCCATTCCCTCCCAGGGTGGCGACGAACGTCTTATGCATCACGATCGGCTTCTCAGCGCCATCGTGCCTCTTTCACGTTCGGATCGCCCCATTCCCTCCAGGATGGCGACGAACGTCTTATGCAGTGCGATCGGCCCCTCAGCGCCATCGTACCTGGCTTCACGGTTCGGCTCGCCCATTCCCTTCCAGGGTGGCGACGAACGTCTTATGCATCACGATCGGCTTCTCAGCGCCATCGTGTCTCTTTCACGTTCGGATTGCCCCATTCCCTCCAGGATGGCGACGAGCGTCTTATGCAGTGCGATCGGCCCCTCAGCGCCATCGTACCTGGCTTCACGGTTCGGCTCGCCCATTCCCTTCCAGGGTGGCGACGAACGTCTTATGCATCACGATCGGCTTCTCAGCGCCATCGTGTCTCTTTCACGTTCGGATCGCCCCATTCCCTCCAGGATGGCGAAGAACGTCTTATGCAGTGCGATCGGCCCCTCAGCGCCATCGTACCTGGCTTCACGGTTCGGCTCGCCCATACCCTCCAGGATGGCGACGACCGTCTTATGCAGCACGATCGGCTTCTCAGCGCCATCGTGTCTCTTTCACGTTCGGGTCGCCCACTCCTTCCAGGATGGCGGCGAACGTCTCTTATGCAGCACGATCAGCGCCCCAGCGCCATCGTGTTTGGCTCACGTTAGGGTCGCCCATTCCCTTTCAGGATGGCGACGAACGTCTCTTATGCAGCACGATCAGCGCCCCAGCGCCATCGTGTCTGGCTCACGTTAGGGTCGCCCATCCCTTTCAGGATGGCGGCGAACGTCTCTCATGCAGCACGATCAGCGCCCCAGCGCCATCGTGTCTGGCTCACGTTAGGGTCGCCCATCCCTTTCAGGATGGCGGCGAACGTCTCTCATACAGCACGATCAGCGCCCCAGGGCCATCGTGTCTGGCTCACGTTAGGGTCGCCCATCCCTTTCAGGACGGCGACGAACGTCTCTTATGCAGCACGATCAGTGCTTCAGCGCCATCGTGTCTAGCTCACGTTAGGGTCGCCCATCCCTTTCAGGATGGCGACGAACGTCTCTTATGCAGCACGATCAGCGCCCCAGCGCCATCGTGTCTGGCTCACGTTAGGGTCGCCCATCCCTTTCAGGATGGCGACAAACGTCTCTTATGCAGCACGTCTGCCTCTCGGCGCTGACATGCCCGGTTTATCGACGAGAGCCACCGCTTTCTATCACATCTCACATTCCTTCTCTCATACATTGCACCCATACATTACATGCATTCATGCATTCATGCATCATACCTCATACATTCATACATACACACGTGCATCGTGTTTTGACAGTACCGCAACGTCGGTTTATAGATGCATGGACCTCCAAGCTTCTCCGATTGGAAAGCTCGAGTCAGAGTCCTTTACTCCCCGCCTGATGCATTCAGGGGGAGTGTGCCCGTGGAGGAGCACCCTTCGCCCGACCCCGTCGGGAAGGGGGGTGCCTCACCGGCAGATTACGTTCAGGAGTGCAGACACCCACTCATATATTATGATTATTCGAAGACACAGTTTCCAGCAAGACAGAGGAAGAGCGCACGCAAGAGTATATTTTCTCGAGCAGATTCGCACGCTCACTACTCAAGAAACTGGGGGACTTGTGTTGGGATATATTATCCCGGCCTATTACTGTTCAGGAGCCCAAGACATCACTCAGTACGGAACCCGAGCAGTTAGGCCCATTTCGGCCCATCCGGCCCACTTTAGCCATTTGGGCCCACTCCGGCCCATGCGGCCCATTAGGGTGGAGAGCATCCCCTTCTCCTGTTCTCTATAAATATGGGAGTTTCCCTCCATATTATGGATCCTTTCCTTCTTCCTTCTTCCTCTAGAATAGCTCAAATACTCCATTAATGGGAGCTTGTACAATGTAATGGTGAGGAGAGTCCTAATGAGAAAGAGAGGGCTTGGACATTAGCCTAAAAAGTCCCGTGGTTTTCTCCCTTTCCGGGTTTCCACGTAAAAACTGAGTGTTCATACATATATTTACTATATCGTGTTGGATTAAACTCAACAAATACTTTTAGTATGTTAGTAATAAAGGCTTTTACACATAATTATAGCTTTTCTCCACCCAACACTAGTAAGCAAAAGGTGACCGGCCTCATGGCAAATAAATCTGCCATTTAAGGGAAATTTGGGTCAAAATGTTCTAAAGGCATACTTTGTATATAATAGCACATAATTTGCATCTATTCGGTCAATTTCATTAGTAATTGACTCCCTCATTTTTTACATTTCATTAACTTTTATCTTGTACAATATTTTGAAACTCCTCATTTTTTGTTAATTCTAGTATGGTTTTTAAGATAGTCCACATTATCCCACAGTGTTTGCACTATTTTAGAGGTGTAAATTCATAATTATTTCATCACAAATGTATCGCATAGTATGAGATTTGATTGAATCAACGTAAACTTAATTCAAGAAAAGACATTGTTAAAATTAAACTTTAGGATAAACAACATATCAATACCCCCTATAGGATCTTGGCTCCGCCCTTGGAATCAAACAAGCATACAATACTGTCAAATAAACACACGAAGACAAAGAAGGTTAGCTCAAATACCCTAAAGATCCAAAGAAGCAAATGCATATGTGTGTACTTGACAAGATTTTAGTTTCTTTTTTACTCATCATATTGTCCTATGATTGAAAACGAATCTAGAATTCAAAATCAAATTAATTTTCGTTATTAAAAAATGCTACCGGTAATCCGGTATATGTCGGGTTATATGCGCAACTGTAATCGTCTTTGAATGGATTTTAATTTTTGTAAAGAAAATTGTTTGTGACCCTGAATTGTTGGCGCGCAGACAATTTATTTTTTAGGGTCAGACACACTTTCCTTTACAAAAACTAAAAATCAATTGTGTATGCATACTTAGCTTGGGTTTACTGTGAACACTATTCATCTCCAGATTTTGTACAAAAATACTCTATATTTTATCTTATGTTTTGCGTGTAGATATCTGAGATATTGGTGACTGTTATGTATGCATAGACCCATTATGGTGCATTATTTGGTTCAAAGAGAGGATTGAGTCTACTTCCATGAAAAAGCATCCAAAATATTATTTGTGTTGTTTCAATATAGCCATGATCGGAAAATTTATCAACTCAAATCACACAAACAACAAAAGTAGGGAGAAGAGAATGTATTTGGTGACAGAACATTCACTCATTTCAATCTATTGCAAATGTATTTTGTTTTTAGATTGTTAAACATACATCATTGATCTAATTTTATAAATAAATGTTGACTTCTTTGTATATTTTTTAAAGAGCAATGTGATATATAGTACACGATTTTAAATTAATCTTGATTGTTTTTTACTTATTATTAGATATACATTTGTGGAGAAGAGGCAGGAAAGAGAAGAAGAGGAATAGACGTGGGTTAGAGGAGTCAGAAATGATATGTTTTTTCTTGGATTGGATGAACATATGTTGTTGGAGAGATCAAAGTGGAGGGCGGGTATTCGTGTGGAGGAGTGATCATGTATTATCTTTTCCCCTCTTTTTTTCTTATTTCTTATCCTTTTATCCTTATATATAAATATTATTTTTATCATTTTTTATTTTATCTTTTATATGTATATTCATCTCTTTTATATTATCTTTTTATAATAGCTTATCTTTTTTATCTTTATTTTCTTTCTTTTCCTTTTGGTGATATCATGTATCGATTCATGTTAGCTGTCCCCAATACCTTTTGGGACTAAGGCTTGGATGTTTTTTTTGTATTAAATTGACATTTGTTGAATAAACATCCAAATGTAGTTATATTTTCGAATGACAAATACATACGGAGTATATCAGTTGGTGTTTTGAGAGAAAAAATAGTAACAACAATCAAAACCAATAAACTCTAAACAAATTACCAAACTTTGTGTGGATAAATCTAACAACTACATCTGTTAAAATATTTGTCTCACACTAGAAAGTTATAAAAACAATAAAAACACTATGTAAGGCTTTGAATTACTCCTCCTATCAGGTTGACCTTTTAGGGTGGAACTTCAGGTCTTAACATGGTATCAGAACCAATTCTGATTGTGGTTTAATTGCTTGTTTAGCACACATAATTACGGGTAGCTTGTTAAGGATCTGTTTGGCCCATTTATACACCCCGATATTGTCCGGGGGGGTGCTAAAGTATTTGTCCCGCTCCGGAAAGCTATAAAAACAATAAAAAAAACTATGTAATGCTTTGAGTTACTTCTCCTATCATGTTGACCTTTTAGGATGGAACCTCAGGTCTTAACAACATCTAAATAAGGTTAATACTAAAAGAATTAGATAAGAATGTAAAATACAATAAAAACCTAAATGTATATTTCTGATATACATTATTCATATATGATATAGATTGTACCTAAAACTCCAATTTAGTCATTCTTGAAAATTCATGTTCGAAATAAAAAAAATGAATTAAATTAGTTGTCCCTGGACTGATTTTAAGATAATAGGGATCAAATCTAACACCATATTCATGAAATACATGCATGCATTTACCGATCTGGAGATTTTTTTTTTTTAACCCGGAAGGCAAACCACCAAAATCAGTGGGGCAAATGCCGGGGAACATTTGCCAGAGTTTTATTAATGAAGAAGGGGAATACAAAAAGGAGGGGGACCAAACCAAGACCTCCTTTCAGAGGTATACCTCTGAGAAAATACACGATAACTAAAACCAAGAGGAGGAAAAAGCAAATGAATTTTGGGGGGGGGCTAGACCTGACCCAAAATTAAAATACAACAAATTAAAAACGTAAACTAGGAATACCAAAGAGATCAGCATAGTAAGCATTCTTAACAGAAACTGGGAGCAAATCAACCCGATTAAAGTGCATATTTTGGGCTCGGTAATTCTGATGGGTCGCCAAGAAATGTGCCGGCCCATTTCCTTCCCGGAGTATATGCTCGAAAGAATAGCCCAAACCCATCGCTTTCCTTCTAAACGCTTGAATATCAGCTGAGTTTCCTGAATCGTTAAGCAAGATAGATATCGACCGGATGGCATCCGTTTCCACCCGAACTTCAATAAATCCATCCGCCATAACCATTTCTGAAGCTTTAATCAAGGTTATCAGTTCCGCCTCCTCACAACTATCGGCATGGATTTGGAAAACCATCGCGTGGATCAGAACCCCAGAACGATTCCGCAGTATAGCTCCTCCTTGTGCCAAGCCAGGTATATATGAAGCATCTACATTTAATTTGTAAAGTTTATTAGGCCTTCTCCACTTAATCACTTGTAAACCAGAAGACTTAAACCTAAAATTCTTTGAAATCAGATGTTCCTGCCAAAGGAAGTCCTCCATAGGTTTAGGTTTCGATTTAGCTAATTTAGCAGCCCAGTTCTGAGTATAGCATTTGATTTTGGATATGAGAAATTCTGGAGATGAAATGGAACTGGAACCCCAAATAAAGGAAGAATATTCCTTCCAAACATGCCAGCAAATGATGCCTGGCATATTATGCTTAAAGAAATCAGAAAGCTTTTTAGACACAGCTTCAATCCACCAAGAAATAAGTATCTGTCGAAAGGATGAGGCTCTAGGAGCCTTAATTCCAAAAATTCCCATGAAGTAGACCCAAACTTTTCTTGTATAAGAGCAACCCCATAAAACATGGTCAACATATTCACTATGATTTTTGCAGAAAGGGCATCTAGTTGGCTGTTGAACTAACTGAAATCTCTTCATATTCTCAGGGAAGGGCAGATAGGCATGAAGCAATTTCCACATGAATAATTTGATAGACATGTGCTGATACTTATTCCATATGTGAGAGTCTGA